TCTACTCAGTAGTGCTATGATTTAATCCTACTAGTACTAAAACACTACTCAGTAGTGCTATGATGAGGCCTAGGCCTATCCTCAGAATTGTGAGTAGTGAGGTACTCTCCCCATTCCTTACAGTTCCAAACTGTCATTGTTTGAAATTCTATGGGATTCTGAATGTGCCAGTATATTCTGCCTAAAACTGCACTTCCTCAATTAAATCTTCCCCAAAAAGCAAATTAGCTACATGTGTAATATGCTTTTATTTACATGCACTTGTTTGTTACAAAATTAAACAAATTTGGATTTGAATTAAGAAATTGAAATCAAGTAATTTGATTAAATTCACAGACCATGTCTTAGCTTGGTGAAATGCGTGCAGTACAGTACCAACCGGCACATGTACCTGCAGAGAAGATACTTCCTTCAGAGAGAGTTGCATGTACATGTACCAAAGATAAATGTGTACCAGGTTTTAAACTGAACCCTGAGTTTTGACAAAACTAGAGTTCACAAGAATTTGTTAACAGGGTACTTACACATGCATCAAGTGACTAATGAGTGAAAAACATGCCAAGAACAACATGTCACACATTTATTTTACATGCTATGTAGTTCAAAAGGCTGGTATTTTGCCTTGCTCTGTGAGCAAAAAGCAGTCTTGTTTTGTTTGTGATCCAGCTCCACAGAGCAATGACTTAGGCTTGATTAAGGGTATTTAGTGGTTTTAGTTACACTGCATAATGATTTAACATTTTTAATCTCAGTAAAATACATGATGTGTACCTGTATATAAAAAGTAGATGTACATGTACACTGATACTTTACCATGTCAAACTCTGAAGTGCGCAAATCAAATGAATTGAAATTAAATCGTGATTATAAATCCTGTGTATCAAATACACTAACTGAATCTAAAAAGATGATTTAAATCAAAACAAGTGGATTGAATTGAACAAAAAAATCTTGCCAACCCAGATTGTGTGTAACACATGTGCATTCATACTTTGTTAATACTAGTAGGAACTGGAAGACTCACAGATGGGGGATTTATTGTTTAAAATGTGTAAAACCTGGAAACATTTCCAATCAGCAAAAAAGAATTCAAAATTTGAAACATTTTTGCCTTTTTCCCCCCAAAATTAAATATGTTGATTTAAATCAATGAATTTTAAAAAAAAAGAAATTGATTTAAATTGCCATTTTAATCATTGATATAAATCAGCCAACCCTGCCTACCTCGATATGTTTGGCCTACCCTAACATCCCTGACCATATGGGATGGCAGGGACATCCAGGACTTTTGCAAAATGGTGGGTAGCAACCACCTTGCGCCAATGAAAACAACTGCAACGAGCGCGCACATATGTACTGATCAAAGAAAAGATCGTATAGCTCATTCCTCTGACTGGCCGGTGCGAGTGTTCGTCGCCATGGTTGCAGTTTTATTGTCATGGTGTGGTGGCTGCCCACCATTTTGTGAAAGTCCCGGATGTCCCCATAGTCACCAGGTCCCTTATTTCACCACTTATGCCAATGAAATTTGATTTCTTGTTTGTTGTCGGGGGTTTTTCAAAATTAGATGCGGTTTTTTTTTATTATTCCAGAAAGAGTACCATAGACGGACACCACTTGACACCCTGTGCACAAACCCTATGACACTGGTCTTAAAACGTCCGTTTTCTCAGTAAACGACTTGGTATTTTCCCTTCTAACTTATGGACATGTTTTTGCTTTCCGATACCTAATTGGTCACTGTAGGGAATAATTATTGGCGTCTGTTTAGAACTCTTCATATTATTCATTATTTTCTATCATGGAAAAATAGTACCTTTTTCACTCGCTTCAGGAATTTGTGGCTCCGTCACTTGTGATTGTGTGATGGTCATTGCTGTTTGGCCGTTGGATTGCGGCGCATGTTGTTGTTGATTCTGCTGAGGTCGAGTCTTGATGCAAGACTGCGGCCAGACAAGGACGTGCACAGTTCAGACATGGCTTGATTTTTTTGGTACCTGTTTGGGAATGTTTTGACTTTTATTGACTATTGGGTGCCCCGCTAGGCTGACAAGGTGCCCATGGGCATTCTGGCTCCAGATTGTTTGTGTTCTGATGACTGAGAGTGCCGGAACTTAATTTTCTACATTGGGAGTTGGATTTTCCATCAAGTTTCACAATTCTTGCCCCGCATCAAAATATTTCGCAAAAATCACATGCAAGGTGCTGATGAGAAACAATAAATCATTATTTCATTAGGGACCTAGTGACTAAGCGGTCAGGGATGTTATGTCATGCATCATGTAGTAGGAACGTTCCTTGAGGTAACACCATGTGATCAATCTCTTGTGAGCAGGTGTGGTTTCGACGTTGAATGGCTTTCTCTGTTTGTCTTCAGGAAAATGCAGGATTGTGGCTGGAGATAGACTGGCCAAGGATTCTGTACAAAGGATTAGTTTGTTGACGCATGTCGTACTGGATGCAAAGCTTGTGTATTGAGGTGTGAAGTAGTGGATCTTCACTCGGGTGTGTCAGTATGGTGAAAGCTGTCAGAGAGCGAACATGAGACCGGGTGCTGGGGTATAGATGACCCATGGGCAGACTAGGGTGGTGGGGACTGGGAAGGGTTTGGATTACTGTCCTCGGGTATATACGACCCATCGGACTATATGGAAAGTATTGGTGCCAGATGTTGCTTATGGAGAAACTGATGTCTTAAGGTACAATGCTGTGCTTGTAGATTTCGATGGCTTTTGGATTTGGTCAAACCCCCCTGGTTCTTATCAGGACCACACCTGTTCACAAAAGAGATTGATTACACGGTGTCACTGGAAACAACATTCCTATTGCTGTCTTCACCATGCAAACCCTCAAACCTTACTATGCATCATGCATCCGTACCTGGTGTAGGGTTGATATTGTGGTTATCAGGTTTCACGCTTGAAGTAAACATTTATCGCTGACCTTGAATGAATAATAATATTTATTGTTTAAAGCCTATTATATCTTAAAATAGATATCAACAGGCTGTATGTAAATAAAACACTCAAATACTATGACCTTAAGACTAAACTAAAATTACCTACAAATTATACAGTAAACAGTTAAAATAAGACATCGGACCCGACTTTGAAGAACGACATACCAAGCATGCGGCTGCATTCTGAATGGCTTAGAGGCACTTGATAAGGCATTTGCAAGTTAAATTTGAATAAAATCTGGTACACTGAGTTCTTTAAATTCACATAAACATAACAACTTGAATTCTCCATACTAAAGCCACTGTTGCTATACCTCGTGATTCGGGGCAAGCTTTTGCTTAGTTACATAAGAGACGCCCTGCAGCAATACACTGTTCTCAATGGATAGGAACGGCACAAAGGAACCAGTCCATTCCAGAGATGGTGGTCGCTATGCAAAAGCTTGCCCCGAATCACGGGGTATAGCAACAGTGTCTTTAGTCTTGGGAATTCAAATTGTTATGTTTCTGTGCAATCAGATAACATAGTGTACCAGATTTTATTCAAATTTAATTCACTAGTAGCTTTTTGATCAGGTGTATGATAAAAGAGACTGTTACAATAGTCCAATTGAGATGTAATGAAAGCAGGGACTAATCTGTCGGTGCTTGTGCGATCTAAGATTCGTTGAATACGGCCGACACAATGCAGAGCAAATGATGCAGACTTGAGGTAATATGACCAGACAGTGAACAAAGTGAATCAAGATAAAAACCAAGGTTTCTAACTGACGAGTCGGTTGGACTCACAGAGACTTGACCGATGTGAATAGAATCCAGTTTCGAAGGGTTACGGAACTTAGAGTGAATATGCAAAACTTTGGTCTTACATGTACCATCGTTAGAAGTAGACCAATTGGAAGTCATCCAAAAACGAACTTTGTCTAAGCATTATTCGATTAGTGCAGTTTTCAATTCACCAGCTTTACCTGAACAATAAATCTGTGCATCATCAGCATAAACCATAAAATCAACACTGTATTTGCTAAAAATATTCACGAGTGGCATGCAGTAAAGGCTAAATAAACCAAGACCAAGTATACTACCCTGTGGTACTCCATAGTTTAAAACAGATTGTTCTGAAGAAAATGCTCCTAACCAACAAGGTAAGACTCAAACCATCCAAGTACTTGACAAGTAAACCAAATTGTTTGTTTGGGCGTTGCAAGAGAATATATTGATCAATTGTGTCGAACATGGATGATAAGTCCACCATAACTAAGATAACCTCTTGATGATTGTCGAGGGCTACAAAAAAATCTTTACAAACTTTTAAAAAAGCCGTCTTTGTTGAATGGAGCTTGCAATAAGCAGATTAAAATTTATAATACATAGGATTACCCAATAGATATTCATCAATTTGATTAAAAAGGGGAATTGTCCTGACCTTGCTGTTGTTTAACTCTTACTTTTTTTCTGGATATAGAAGATTTTGTTTGTGGTTTAATTTTATTTTCTTCTACAATCTTGACTGTAGCTTATAAAAACGACAGAAAAATGGAGATTGCTTTCAAAGGAAACAAAATAGCCTCACTTTGTGATAAATATTACAGTTTACTTGTTGACTCCTTTTTTCTAGTCTCCTACTTAATGATGCCCTTCTCCGAGAGAATTACTCAGAGTGGGAATAATTGCACTGTGTCACCTTGCACCGATTAATCTGGCACGGAATAACTTCAAGAATTTTTTACTAAATCCCTAAATACAGGAAAAACTTTTTCATTCATCTTATAGAAATTGGTACAGTATTAGTACAAAAAATCAAAATATGCAGGTATAAAAAATTTTATCTCTTGGTGGATCAATTCGTTTATCAATATTTGAAACTGTCCTTAAAAATGTCTGCTGTCTTGGGTCTAATACCCCAACAATTATGGCCATCTCATTAGGCCTGAACTATTTAGTCATACTTAATGCTAGAAATTCTACATATTGTTTAAATATTTCTTGAAGTTGTATTGGAAATGCATAAAATTGGAGACAATAAAGCCGATGTAATTATTCGCTACTAATTGCCCCAAAGGATAAAAGTATGATTGGTACAAGTCTATTATTATAGAGACTAGGGAGGGGCGCTTTACACATGCAAACAGTTTTTCATCACAAAAGTCATTATTTTGACCATGAAAAAATTAGACAATTTCACGGTAAAATGTGTCTTTACACATCTTTGGTGATGGATATCTGTAGGCAGGGCAGCATTACAAATATTTGTTGAAAAGATAGATGTAGGTTTTGACAGATATAGAGGAAAAATTACGCTGTACAAAAAAATTTCATTTTTAAAACATAACGAAAGTTGTAACATTTTTCATTATGTTTCTTATAAAAAATTATCTGGGTGAATATTGCTGATTTAGGGCTTATTGGGAGTGCAAAATTTTCGATGCTATGATTATAGAGTCGCCCCGATAATATAGGAACTGGGTATACATGTAATGTTAGGTTTACATCATGTTCAAAATGTATCGTGGATGGTGGAGTATCCTGAATTCCTACATTGGCCTATATATGTACATGTACATCCAACTTTCTGTTGTTGCAAGTGGGACGTATGGAAAGAGTTACATATTTATGTACACGTACTTGACACACTGTGCACAAATACTTGATATTAGACGGGTCTGATAAATTCTAAGTGTTTTATAACCAAGCATGCACAGCAGTTGAGTTGATAGGATGTCTGTATCAGGAGGTTTGGGTTCAAGTCCCACTCAAGTCATTTGTACAAAAGTTTCCTTGGGCTTTTTGGCAACACCAATTTTTCTTTTACAAGATAAAAGCCAGAATTTGTCATGCATGCAGCTCAGGCAAATGATACCTGAATGAAAAAGTGGTCAAGCCAAGATGAGACAACTGTTTCTGAATAAAAGGTTTCTTTTTCCAGACACGAAGTCATTGATGACGAAATACCAACAGCAGATTGACACTGTGACATTTGCAAGAATCCATTGATATCGGGACCCCAGTGCCATGTCAAAACCAAAGGAACATGTTCCATCCTCACAGCCCATGGATAAACCTAGAAATGTCAAAGGCAAGAATACTGCATCTATGTCAAGGAGATCTGCTGAGGCTAACCCATTGGCACAACCAGTCTATCACTCCACAGTGGCTCTCGGCCATCAACTCAATAACTTCCAAAGGATGGAGTTTGATGCTGAAGGTACAGTGCTTAAGGCACTGGAGGAATCAGAGATGGCTAGGCTCAACTTTGCCGAGAAAGTTGCCGAAGCTGTGAACGTCCCCAAGAAAGAGACTAAATATTCAGGTGGGTTATGCCGTGCCATGTCCATTGACAATGATTTCTGTGTACAAAATGGTTGCCATGGGATAGATTTTTACCACAAAAGAGTAACAGTGGCAAATACCATGCACATATGTAACATGTAACATGCCAATCAGCAGACAGATAGCGTGGATGTGGACCTCTTGTGGGAATTAGTTTAGTGACAAGTCAGTGCTCGCAATACTATGTAGGTTGCGTGCATATTAAACAAAACGAACATGTATGCTCAACTTACATGTACATGTATTTTCATGTGAGTGTTTAAGTTACCCCTTCATATTGGTGCATGGAAGCAATGACGTAAGTGTGTGTCACCAGGGGCATCTGTACATGTGTATTCAGACATTAGTATAATTCCATTCTAATAATTCTGTTTAATTGGTAGAGTGAGGCTTTGGGTAATGGTACTTGGTGGCATTTACAACTTTAAGTATTTCTGGTATTGAAATATCGTAGGCCTGTAGTCTAAACCTGTAGAAGGAAACAATGAGAAGAAGTTACAGTTTTAGAGTTTGAAAGAAAACCACAGAAAAATAGTCTGGGAATCAAACCTGGGCTGCAGAGGTGAAAGGTGAGGAAAATCAGTTAAAGTAATTTCATGGTGTCACTCATGGATTAGCCTCATTACAACTCAGTACTTACTTCATTTGAGAGAGATGTGTGCTGAAATTGTATGGTGCACCGTTCACGATGCGCCCAACTTACCCATTTTCAATGACCAACTTAACTCTTGTTGCTGCGAGCAGCAATCCCATCTTCACAAATTTACTAGGAACCCTTCCACTGAAACAAATCCTGTACCGATGGGTGATCATAACCCACAGCTGTTGTATCACTAAATATTAAATAACTAGGTATTTGCATATACTGTACATTTACTTTCTTTTTTTGGGGAGGGGGTAATATGCTCTTGACGGGGTATACTTCCACGCTTTGCCTATAATATTTATTCCATTCCATAACCATCTAATGCTTACGGCATCACACGGCAGCACCCAAAACAGCAACAACCCTCCTGCCCTCCTAGATAACACAGACACACACTCATGACACCCACTTTCTACTAAGAAACTCAGACAATCCTAGACAAAATAGTTGGAACACCTTGTGGGAAGCGCGTTGCAAAGATCCCCCTCTCCCCCATTCAATGTTGCGGTCATTTATTGGACCAAGATTCGGCCGAACTTGCCCAATGAGAAAAAACATTGAAGGGGGGCAAGGGGGAGGCATGTTCCAAAAAGATTTGTCCAGGATTGTAGCTCTAGATAACAGATTCGGATGTGACCTTAGTCACACTTCAATGTAACACATACAGTCTACTGATTTTTTGTGTGTTTTGCCCCCCCCCCAGGTTTTTTTTAATTGTGACATGCTAGTTTAGGGGAACTGAAGCCTTAAATGTCCCATCTTTGTGTTGTTCATTAGAATTAGTGGGATATCAAAGGTTGTAGTTACTTGCCTTTTGATGTGTCCTTAGACAAGTCCCTTGCACCCAACTGGCACTTATACCCACATACATGTAGACTGGGATTAAATTCACTGCAAAAAGATAAATTCTTAGTACTTGCCCAAGAGCAGGCATCTTATTGGCTCTGGAACACCTGGGAATTAATTTTTAATTCAATTTGTCATTCTACTGCCTTTATCTGTTGTAGGCCTGATCAGTGTTGATGTGCCTGTGGAAGCAACCATTGCTCGAGAAGTTGAGGATCGTATGGCTAGACTGAAAACGAGCCACAAACAGGTCTCACACAAACCTTGCAAGGTACGTGTACATGTAAAGCCCATACAGCAGCTTGGAATCTGTTTTTACCAGATGGTGCTGGAGTTTATGATGCGAACCTTATGTTCCAATCTCCGGAGCGTACATGTATATCTCACTAGCTTGGAAATCAATTTTATGGAAAAGACATACTAGTATATCATAGCCAACTTTATTTTCAAATTTCCATATCTGTGTGGTGATTCTCTAATTGTGGTTGAATGGTGTAGTCACATGAGGGTGCTATTCATGTTGTCCATGAATGGCCTGGTTATTCGTGTAGCAATCTTAGTGTTGTGAGCATGTTATGCAGGCGCAAAAGATAGCTCTAGGTTTTACAATGTATTAATTTATAAAATGTTAATGGTTTTGATCTGGGAGCTGTGGGTAAATGCAAATAGCAGATATGTAATATTGTAATAGTCCAGACCACCTACATGTAATAGAGGGATTAAGCTGCGATTGGTTAAGTTTCCTGTGCCCATGGATAGGCATGTTAATTGGTCGTTTGCGCCACAACCTTGGATCTTGTCCAAAATCTTGAACACTGATCAACACAAGTTGATCAGTGTTCAAGACCTGGAATGGTCCTGCAGATCTGCTGAATTGCAGACGGGGAGTCCCTAAGCTAGGGTAGGTTAGCTACATCGATTGGTCTTTTCTTGGGTGGAAAATAGAATTAGCAATAAAATAGGCTCGAGAGTGACATGGGAACCCCAACTTGGCCTCACCGCATCTTTCCTTACCCGTCACCAGGGATTACTGTACATATACACTACATCTGGAATAGAAGCCAGTACTTCCTCTGCATACCGTTTACTTTTTATTGAAAATTTTTATATTTCACCATTAAAATCAGAAGCTTACCAAATGCCGCATTATTGTTACTTTGAAATGAAGCAGATTATTGTGTTGAAAATAGAATATATTTATTCCCTCTCATCTTTGTATCGTTTCTAGGCATCAGAAGTGCCATCTCCCAACATAATGAATGCCTTCCCCCCTGATGGTCTGATTGTGGAAGAACCCATCATGGATGTACCAGCATTGACCTCCCAACAAGTCCAACCAAAACCCTGTTCTCCTGAGGTAGCCTTTGACCTGTACAGGCACATACTGTGTTGGGATTCCTAGGTGGTACCATAGTATGGAATGCCAAATGTACCAAAATATGATGTTACTCTGTGAAAGTAGTTTGATCATGTCCTCAGTCTATTATGTGAAGTTCTCAATCCATTATGTAAAGTTCTCAATCTATTATGTGAAGTTG